ATTGCCAGCTGCTTGTCTGAGCGTCTGGAGGTGGTGTCCATAGAGTGGGGCAAGAGCAACCACTTAACAGATGATATATTTTTAAACAGTTTTAGATTCACAGAATTATTATGGATGGTGTATATTCCTGTGTGCCCCTGCCTGGTTCCCCTGCCCACACCTGATGTCACTGCAGTACCTTTGTCACAGCCGATAAGCCAGGACTGAGATATCATTAATAACCAAAGTCCATATTTACTAGATTTCCTGTTTCCCCTGATGCCCTCTCTCTGCCCCAGGACCCCATCAGGATCCCCCATGACAATCATCACATCCCCTTAGGCCCCACTGACTGAGTCAGTTTCTCTTTCCTATGTGGATGCCCTGGCTGTTGTGTCCTACAGGATGTTCCCAGTCAGAGTTTTCTGTTGTCTTTCTCATGTTTGCACTGAGAGATGTGCCCTGCTCATTTGTCACATCAGTGTCCCTGTGTCCCCATGGCTCCTCATGGCTGATGTTGATTCTCATCTCCCTGCCAGGGTGCTAATCAGGCTTCTCAACTGGGAAGCTCCTGCCCCTTCCACTGTCCTCTCTGGAAGGGGTACCTCTGCACACCAACATTTTGCCAGGGCCATTCTTCCTCTGCCTCCCAGACCCTGCCCACCACTCAGGGACCATTTGGCCTCCAGGAAGCAGGGCCCCCTCTCGCCAGGGAGGGGTCCCTTCTCACTCCCATCCAGCTGCCCACCCTGCACAGGCAGTGGAGCTGGGGGGTGCTCTGGGGCCTCCCCTCCCCCTGGCCCCCTGGATCCCTTCTAGGGCCCCAGGAGCTAGCATCACTCTGACCAGGCTCATGCAGTGCCCACCAGGGTCGTGCTCAGATGTGGCCCCAGAGGGATTTCAGCAAAGACATCTGGCCACCTCCACCTACACCCAGACCCCACCCTGCCCAGCTTGCTGGGGTCTCAGGGGTCTCTACCCCTCTCACTTCATAGGGACCAGGTAGCAAGACATAGCCTGGCCTTCCTTGGCATTGTCCACCAGACTTGGGCTGGGCCACCTCTGACTCCCCCTGCCCTGGGAGGGGCAGAGCCCAGGGACCTAGGGGCAGAGCCCAGGGGAGGTCCCCCCTTGGAGTCAGCAGGGCCAGACTCACCCATGGTTACCTCAGTTTCCCCTGAGACAGCTGTGCTAGCCTTTTGAGTCACTGGGCTCTCCCATGAGTGGGCTGGGCACCCTGGGAGTCTCAAGGTGTGCCTCCTTCAGCTCCTGCCTCTGTCTTGGAACTTGGGGCTTTTTTCCTTTTTTTTTTTTTTTAAATCCTCACTCAAGGAGTGAGGATATTTTTTCCATTGCCTTCTAGAGAGAGTGAAAGGCATGGAGGAGAGGGAGAGAAACATTGATGTGAGAGAGACACATCGATTGGCTGCCTCCTGCACTTGCTCCAACATGGGGTAGGCATCAAACCTGCAACCCAGGTTAATGCCCTTGCCCAGGAATTGAACCCAAGACCCTCCAGTGCGCAGGCCGACACTCTAACCACTGAGCAACACTGGCCAGGGTGAACTTGGAGCTTGTATTAACCTACCTAGGCCACCGTCTGTGCCTGGTGCCTGAGCGGGTCCTGCCTTCTATCAGGCAGCTGAAGGCCCCACCTCCTTCCCTGTGTGCTGGAGGTCGGGGGGAGGCTCAGTCTACACCCCTCCCCCACCCCAGCCCCCACATGGATCCAGGCTGCTTGTGGGGCATGGGGGGAGCAGGGGTGAGGACAGGCCTGGTCGTCCGAGCTCTGTCCTTACACACCACGGGAGCATGCGGCTGGCCCCTATGGCTCCCTATGTGCACAGATGGCCCGGGCTCTGGGGAGGGTAGCAGGAGGCTCACTGAAGGCCCCCAGCCTCACACCAGCTCACTTGGCCAAGGGGATCTTTCCTGCACACCCCTTGACCCCTGGTGGCGCCAGGACCGACCTTGTCCAGCAGATGGGCAAGACTGAGGCTTCTGCATCCAGCCATCCCTGGAGAGGCTGTTGGGTGGACCCCAGTTCCATCTCCTCCTCACCTATTCCCTTGGAGCATACCTCTTCTGGGTCTGTATGTACACCAGTGTTAGAATCAGAACTTCTGGGAAGTTGATGGGGTCACCTGCATATCCCCACCTCCCCACCCTCCACTCCGGAATAGGAATCTGATTCAGACTCAGATTGCTGGGAGGGGAGCTCCAGAAACATGGGCCTCACAGGGGCATGGGTCAGGCCTGGGCGCTGGCTGAGACCAGGGCCAGTTAGCTGTGGCATCACAGGCACACCAGGATAGGCTACAGAGTCCCCTTCTTCCCTGGAGTCCACCGAACTGAGCCCCTAGGTTCCTGGGACACCCCCATCCCCCCACCACCAATCAGCCATTCTTCTTGTCTTCCCCTACTGGTTGGCAGGACACACATGCATCCCAGTACACCTGGCCATGGCTCTGTAATGCCTCCAATATGTAAGTGGTACACAGGGTCTGGGCCTCCAGGAAGGCATCCCTGCCTGGACCCTCGCTGTGGCTTCTGCCAAGGCCACTGGCCCTGTCTGCTCGGGAAATGCTCCCACAAACTGACTGAAATGCTTAGGGCCTAATGTCAGCATGGACTGGCTCTCTGTGGCCTCAGCTGGGCAGGCTGGAGGGGAAGTGCTCATTTGGGAGGGCTTGTGGGTCTTTCTCCTGGTACTGTTGGCTGAGGGCTACTCCTCTGCACCCTCCTCTGCTCCTGAGCTTTTGGGGCCCCTGTCTGCAAAATGGATACCCACTGCTCTCTCTTAATGGCCGTCCCTGCAGAGAAGTCTGGTTGGGGGCTCGTTCCCCACCTGTCCAGGACCCCTGAGCGGCTGGTCCCCACATGTCCCCATGTCCAGTGCAAGCCAGGCACCTGGTGCCAGCGAGGGCAGCACAAATGTCCCTGGCATTGTACCTGATTTTCTTTAAATTTAGGATTATAAACTGTGTGTAACCTCCGTGCAGCAGGCTTCACGCAGGCCCCACAGGTATGGGGCCCCTGAGTCCTGACAAATCCCTACACTGGTGTCACCTCCACAGGAATGAGCACGAAGCAGGTGTCACCTTCTTCCCGTGTCATTCAGTGGGGTCAGTGCACAGCTTGTGGGGTCTGGCTTCTCTCATAAGTGTGGTGTTTTCAGGGTTTGTCCATGTCATGGCTAGTGTCAGAGCCTTGTTCCTCTCATGGCTGAGCAGCATCTGCCCCGTGGCTGACCCCTTGTGTACCTGTCATGGGGCCACCCTGGCCATGCCCTCACCCGGACTGTCTTCCAGGAATCCTCGTACCTCGATGACCTCTCCAACGCCTCCATCTTCTCCTCATCTGTGGACTCCCTCTCGGACATCGCGGACACCCCTGACTTCCTGCCCGCTGACAGCCTCAACCAGGTGCCCACCATTTGGGATGTGAGCACTGGCTCCTCTGCCCAAGATAAGGTCAGTTCACCCTGAGGCCTCCATGTCAGTAGGGGGGTCAGGGTTGTTCAGAAACTGATGAGGCTATTGGGTCCTCACCTTTCCTGTACAACCCAGAAAATGCAAGGGTTTGTGGGGGAAGCTACTATGTTGGGCACCTTGCCCCTCCTTCTGTGTAAGTGCTATCATAGCCAGGCCCCCCCCCGTGTCTCCGGTGGCTGAGTCTCCATGCCTGCTCTGTGTTGAGCCTACTGAGGAGATGGGGGTCCCCAGGATGTGAACAAAATGTCATTTTTCATGGTTCTCACACAGGGTGGCCCTGCCCCCAGGAACACTGTGTCATGTCTGGAGACATCTCTGGTTGTCACAGCTGGGGGTGTTCCTGGCATCTAATGGGTGGGAGCCAGGGATGCTGCTCAACCCTCCACAGTACTCAGGATGGTCCCCTACAGAGAATGACCCAGCCCCAATTTCAGCTGTGCAGAGGGGGAAAGATCCTGAGCTAGTGAAACACAAAGTTATGTGATGGGATAGAAAAGTGGTGGAAATCCTTCTGTAGAGGCCACTTTGGGGTTGAGGGATAGAGGAATTGTGTGGGCCAGGACAGGTGGCAGGAACAGCTCTTGCAAAGACCCTGTGATAGGAACTAGCTGAATGGACCTGAAGGTGGGCCTTGCACCTGGCCAGGTGGAAGTCGGGAGGTGAGGCTAGCTCAGAGGGATCACAGGTGAGCAGAGTCCCCCAGTATGCCAGGCACAGACTCCAGCATATGCCCAGGACCAGGCAGTGGGGGCACCCAGCATGGGGCCAGCAGGGGGACAGGGAGTGCCCAGGAAAGCCCAGTGAGGTCCCTGTCCTTGGCAGCCTTAATGGACAATCCAGGCTCATCTTAGTGTCTGGGTGAAGGGGCCCAGCAGGACAGCAGCATTACCTAAGTCTCCCAGGGCCCTCTGGTGGCTTCTAGCTCTTGGGAGGAGGGCTTGAGGGCAGCTGAAACCTAACACTCACAACATGCAGTGAGCCAGCCCACCCGCCAGGAAGCCTGACTCAGCCTTCTGGGAACCTGGCTGAGGCTGTTTATTTTTGTTAATTCAAAAAAAAAGGAGAGGGACTTGAGCATAAGTTTTTGATTTCCCTGTACCTCACTTCCATTTTTTCTAATTTATTTTTTAATCCTCACCTGAGTACACTTTCACTGATTTTTAGAGGGAGAGGGAGAAACATCAACCAGCTGCCTCTCACATGTGCCCTGACCAGGGCTGGGGGGTTGAACCCACAACCCAAGTAAATGCCCCTACCAGGAATTGAACCCTTGACCTTTCGGTGCACTGGACAACGCTGCTACCCACTGAGCCACATGGGCCAGGCGTGGCTCAGTGGTTGAGTATCGAACTAGGATCCAGGAGATCGAAGTTCGATTTCTGGTCAGGGCACATGCTTGGGTTGCGGGCTCGATCCCCAGTCGGGGGCATGCAGGAGGCAGCCAATCAATGACGACTCGCTCATCATTGATGTTTCTTTCTCTCTCTCTTCCTCTTCCTTTCTCTCTGAAATCAATAAAGACATATTTTAAAAATTGGAAACAAAAAAAATCTTTGGCCATGTTCGTAGCCTTTGGAAACAAATGGAGTTATAAAATCAAGTCAGTTATCACATTACTGAATCCCCTGGTGACCCTTTTTCCTCTGAGACTGTAAATGACACTTGTGGTCTGGGGCACCCAGCACTCATAGTCATTGGTCTTGGGATGGCAGAGGTCTGTGAGGAGCCAAGGAGGATGGCCACATGTTACTTTCATGCAGCATGTTTTATAATCACACAGTAGGTCTTGGCCACCAGAACCAGCTGGCAGGCAGCAGGAAGGAGGCAGATGGCCGGTGCTGGGCAGAGGGGCATGATGGCATGGAAAGCCTGAGTCCAGGCCGGTGGTCCTATCGAGGTGCTCCCTTGCTTCCTTGGCACATCCAGCCTGCAGGCTCATGTTTACTCTCTCCTTCATTTCTTCTCCAGTTGTTCCTGCCCAGTGGGCCATTTACGGGCCTTGAGGACCCAGTGCCCTCCCTCGCCAGCACTCCACTTCTCATCAGCTACCAGGTGAGCTGGGCCCCTTCTTCAGCCCTGCCCACCCCTCCTGGGACTAGGAGGGCCATTCACACTCAGGCACCTATTGTGTGTCAGACCCTGGCCTGCTTAGAAGCAGGGTCTGCCCATTTTACAGGTGGGAGGTACCATGTTGGGGCAGGGGACAGGTAGGCTCTCCTCACCACCCCCATCACTGGGCTGGCTGGTGGACCAGGCCCCTGCCCCTTGGGGAAGGCAGGCCATGCTGAGTGACAGGACTGTCCCTGCCATGATGACACCGGTCTTCAGTCTCAGAGTCAGAGTCAGCCAGAGGAGGAGGAGGAGGCGGAGGAGGAGGAGGCAGAGGAGCTGGGCCACACGGAGATCTATGCGGACTATGTGCCATCCAAGTGTGAGTGCATGGCCTCCCCTAGTCCCTGGCATGTGGGAGGAGACCCCTGGAGGACACCCCCAGTAGGCAACCACAGGTCTGCACAGACCCACCAGGCTTCAGGTCTCCTGCGTGAGGGCACCCAGTCCTGGGGTCCCTGAACCAGCAAAGGTGGGCCTGGTAGGGGTGGAGGGAGGGCCAGTTCTATAACTGTGGTAATCTGAACCTTGTCTAAAACTGAGGTGGCTCCAAAGGTGTGATGTAAGCTCACCTCCTCTTAGCCCAGCCTCCTCCCCACCCAGCTAGGGTTTTATGGGTCTGCCCCCCTCTCTCCTTTGTGCAAAGCACTGATAGGTCCCTTCCCCTTCCCCCCTCCCCTAGTCCCCATCCTGGTCCCTCCCCCATCCTGGTCCAGTCCAGCTGAGACCCTGACCATGCCCCTGACCACACCCCTCCAGCCAAGGTTGGGAAGCAGCACCCTGACCGTGTTGTGGAGACCAGCACACTGTCCAGTGTCCCACCACCAGACATCACCTACACCCTTGCCCTGCCTGCCTGGGACAGCGGGGTCCTGTCTGCCTTGCAGCTGGAAGCCATCACCTATGCCTGTCAGGTGACCCCAGTGTTTCCCACCTGACCCTGTTTCTAGTTGGAGGGCCTCAATGCCCCACCTGGTTCTATATCCATGGGGGTGTTTGGTGCCCACCCAACCCATCCCACATGGGGAGGTATTTCCGTGTCCACCCAACTGCATACTATAGGGGGGGGGGGTCTCAGTGCCCACCTGACCCCGTCCTTTGTGGGGTTTTCTGATCACTGCCCTATATACCTACAGCAACATGAGGTCCTGCTCCCCAGTGGGCAGCGAGCGGGCTTCCTCATTGGCGATGGTGCTGGGGTGGGCAAAGGTCGCACTGTGGCAGGCATCATCCTTGAGAACTACCTGCGGGGCCGCAAGAAGTCCCTGTGGTGAGTGTCCCCCCTGCATGTGGGGTGGGCAGGGCCAGCAGGGGTGGGAGATAGTAGACACCCACCAACTCACACCCTCCAGGTTCAGCGTCTCCAACGATCTCAAGTATGACGCTGAGCGTGACCTGCGCGACATCAATGCCCCTGACATCCCAGTGCACGCGCTGAGCAAGGTGGGTTGGTGGCCCCCTCCCCCATTGCCTGGTGACCCGAAAATGTGCCCACACCCATCCCTTTCCCCAGATCAAGTATGGTGACAACACTACCTCAGAGGGCGTCCTGTTCGCTACCTACTCCGCCCTGATCGGGGAGAGCCAGGCTGGCGGGCAGCATCGCACGCGCATCCGGCAGATCCTAGAATGGTGTGGGCCCGCCTTTGACGGCGTGGTATCCTGTCCTGATGAGGGGTGGGAGGGAGGAGGGGCAGTTGGGCACAGGAGGATAAGAGGGGGTTGGAGAGGACAGCAGTGTCAGAGGAGGGGGCAAGGTAGGCACCAAGGGTGGGAGGAGGAAGGGACTGAGCGGTCAAAGAAGGGGGAGGAGTGGGTAGGGAGGGTGGCACTGAGCTGGAGGGGGTAGGGCCTAGGGGCGAGGAGGAGGGCGGGGCCAAGGGAGAGAGGTGTGGCTGCAAGGGTGGGGTTCAGGGTAGGAGCTGTGAGTAGGAGGGTTAAGGGAGGGGCTGGAGGGGCTGTGGGAAATCTGGAAGCCAGGGACCTGATGCTGGCTGGGGAGGAATTCTTGTCAGAGGACTGTGCTTCGGAGGCTCGCCCCCCAAGGGAGGCTCCTTCTCAGTGACTACTGTTCTCAGCCCCTCACAGTCTGGCTGGGCCTCCTGGCTCCAGCCTGCAGAACCGTGACCACAGACTGGGTGGTGTTTGGTAGTGGGAATGTGCCACCTGGGTAAGAGGTGTGGGGTGCGGACCCCTTCCTCCTCCTCCTCCTCTTCCTCCCCCGTCCCCACCCCAAGATTTAAAGATTCTACCTTTCCCTCCTTATCTCTGAAAACTTGGATACTCAGGTAACTTTGTCTTCTCCTCCTACCAGACTATAAGAGCAAAGAATAGGAAAGTGGCAGCAAGAGCATAGTTTAACATGTCTTTGTTAACTTTTGTAAACCCCAGCCCCCCACATTCACCCCCCAAGTGAGACACCAGGTGGGAGGCCCTCAGCTCCTGGGGATTTGTGCAGGGCACCCCATTCCCTGCCACCGCCCCGCCCCCCCAGTACTCAGGATCTGCCCCTGGTGTGGAGGCCACTTCTCATGTCCCCTCTGTGCAGCCCTGGGTTGGCTTGGTGCTATGGGCATCCTGTGGGTGCTCATCCTCCTGTGCACAACCTCCCCAGGTTGTCCCCTGTGTGCCATCTCATGTCACTGTTTTCCCCACCAGAGCTGGGGAAAGTTAGTCACTGTGCATCATGCTGCTCTGTTCTGTCCTTAGCCATTAATTACCCTGTCACAGGGACATTCCTGGGGTTTCCAGCCTCTGTATTATACACAGTCTTGTGTGAGCCCCATCACCCCTTCTCACTGTGTCCTCGGGGTCATTCCAGAAGTGGGGTGACCAGCTTGGGCACTCCTGGTCCCAGTCAGAGATAAGAAGAGGAACATGGGCCCTGTGTGTCCTTTCTGGTCACATGAGCAAGTATATGGATTTATTGGTTAGGAAATGCAGAACAGCTCCTGTGTGCCCAAAGACGAAACAAGGTTATTGGTGTGTCCTGGGCACCCATATGACACCTTGCACAGCCTGGGGAAAGGGATAGTGTAAAAAAATACAACATTAATGTTCAACCCCAGGGGCTGCATGCTCAGTTCCAGACTCACCTTTTCATTTGGATTTCGTAAATTCTCTGTTGACCCTTTACATGCACATCATATATACATGTGCGTGTGTGTGAACATGAGCTTTGTTTTTTAAATAGGCTCATGACAGGCATACTTGTCTATAACTTTTTTTTTAATTACAAGAGAAAGTTTATTTAGAAAGTTACAGAGGTAGTAGAAGTGAGCCAGCTGGGCTGCATAGGTTCAGGAAACAAGTTACAGAAGCAAAAGAAGGGCCTTTGGAGATTAGGAGAGGGAAAGGCAAAGGTAATGTGCCTGGGGAGGAAGAAGGGGACAGGAAAGGCGAAGGTGTACTCCTGAGAGAGAGAGCGCCTGCCTGTAACTATTTTCTCCTTAAAATATTAAGAACATTCTACATATTATTACAATTTGTTTCTTCAGTATCTTTTTTTAAATGGGGTCAGTGTAGATTTGTGAGGAGTCATAGAGAGAGACCCCAGTTCTGCATGGGAAGCCATGGCTCCCTCTCTTATTCAGAGGCTCCCTTTTTTTCACGCTCAGTGGTGCATGTCTGTGTCAGTGTCATCTCTAAGGTCTTCACAAGGCCTTCACACGCATTTCCATTAGTAGTCGAGTAGGGGGTAGGGGCATAATCAGGGGTGGGGAACCATTTTTCTGCCAAGGGCCATTTGGATATAACATCATTTGCGGGCCATACAAAATTATTACTGCTATGAAAAAAGCTCCTAGATTTATTGACTTTCCAGCCCCACCTGCGGTTGCCTTGGCAGGGCCAGACCAAATGATTTCGTGGGCCTTATGTGGCCCACGAGCCAGACGATCCCCACCCCTGGCCTAGAGACTGTTTCTCACTCATCCTGGTGGCCTCACACACCCCAGGGTCCCCACCCTTGGTCAGACACAGACACACGCCCCAGATACCTTGCTGAGTTCCCTGAACCAGGAAGGGGCAGGCTGGGATGGTCACCTTCCAAAACTGTCCTTAACTCACACCCGCCAACGATCGTGTTTGATGAGTGCCACAAAGCCAAGAATGCCAGCTCCACCAAGATGGGCAAGGCCGTGCTGGACCTGCAGAACAAGCTGCCTCTGGCCAGGGTGGTCTACGCCAGTGCCACAGGTGAGGGGGCAGCTGCCAGGGGCAGGGAGAAAGACTGATCACCCACACAGTCGTCAGCGATGTCTGGCCTGGTGCAGTCAGAATGAGGGTATCACAAGTACCATCCATTCATTGACCTCACAGCTTGGCCCAAAGGTGGAGCTTACTCTCCCCAGGCCAGTGGTAACTTACACAGTTTCGTGAATGCCAACCCCTATTAGGGGCTCCCCTCTGCCAACTGGCTTCAGCTCCCTGGCTGTGGGTACTTTCCTGGGACCTGAAGGTCCCTGTACCTGGTCCTTGGGTCATTTCTAATGCCATGTCCCTTATCTCCTCCAAACCTTACTGGGTTGGAGGAGCTGAGGGTGACTCCCACCCCCAACCCCCAGGCGCCTCTGAGCCCCGAAACATGATCTACATGAGCCGCCTGGGCATCTGGGGTGAGGGCACACCCTTCCGGACCTTCGAGGACTTTCTGCATGCCATTGAGAAGAGGTGAGCACCCCTACCTGTCCATGACAGGTGGCTGGGGGGCCTTGGGCCCTGCTTATCACATGCAGAGGCCTGCTGTCAGTGTGCCCAGTTCACACCCCAGCCCACACTCCTCCAGCAGCCAGAGTGATCGTAAAACACAAATCCTGCTCTTTCTCTGTCCAGCACTTCCCATTGTTCTAGGGTAAAGAGCCCCTTCCTGCTTTTCTTGTACCCTCCCCCAACCCCTCCTCAGCCCAGCAGGATCAGGCAAATGGGAGCAAAGGGCCTTTGCACCTGCTGTCTGCATTCCCTTTGTGCACCTGGTCCAGGGCTCAGCTACAGGTGTCCGCCCCTCCACGGAGTAGCTCCATCACTTCATGGTACTCAGCATGTGGTCAGGCAGGTCCCTGCCAATGCTCAGGCAGCCCTGTCTGTCCACAGGGGCGTGGGTGCTATGGAGATCGTGGCCATGGACATGAAGGTCAGTGGCATGTACATTGCGCGCCAGCTCAGCTTCAGTGGTGTTACTTTTCGAATTGAGGAAATCCCACTGGATCCGACCTTCGAGCTTGTCTACAACCGTGCAGCCCTACTGGTGAGCTGGCTGGCCAGGGGCCTCTAACTGCGTGAACACACTGTGCATTTCCTCTTGGAATTACATTCCTGTCACCTTCAGCATCTGTCTTTAAAGATGCTACAAGGATTTGTCAGGTTACAGAAAGGTGGAAGCAGCCAGACCACCTGCTGGGGTCTTTGGCTGGAGCCTAAGGACTCAGTTCTGTTCAAGGCAGAGATTATGTGACTGTAGTGAAGTGGGCACACAGCTGGGTCCTACCACCCTCTCCATGATGTCACGAGCACTTTGTCCCTAGGCTGTTTCCAGTGTCCACATCTCTGTACACTGTGACCTAGCCCTTATTTTCACCATCTCCTCCCTGTGTGGTGGGTTCCTGTTGTCCTCACCGTCAGATCATACCCACACAAGACAAGCCCTGAGCATTGGCTCTGCCTGTGCTGTATCCTTACCTCAAACCAAGATAGGGTTTCCCCCTCGCACTGCTGACATAAGGACCAGGTCATCCTATGTGGGGGTCTGTCCTGGGCACTGCTGGGTGCTGAGCAAGCATCACTGGCTCCCACCCACTCAATGCCAAGAGAACCCCTAGTCTCCAGTCGTGACAACTACAGATGGCCCAGTGCCCCTGGGAGTAGGATCACCCAGGGTGAGAGAGCCCCTGGTCTAAAGTGTCAAAAGTCGACACTTCCCCTTCTGAAATCATGTCCCACACATGGCATCACATTTTTGTTTTTTAACATTTCTGACTGTTCAGGTATCGGCAGAGCCTTTGTGTTGCTCTACATATAAGCCCCCACCCCGGCTCCAAATTCCAGCAGGGTTGGGGCTGGGGAACAGCTGGGCAGTAGTGAGTTCAGCCACTTGTGACATGTCGTTGCAGTGGGCCGAGGCCCTGGGCGTGTTTCAGCAGGCAGCTGACTGGATTGGTCTGGAGTCCCGCAAGTCCCTGTGGGGTCAGTTCTGGTCGGCCCACCAGCGCTTCTTCAAGTACCTGTGCATTGCCGCCAAGGTGCGACGGCTGGTGGAGCTGGCCCGGGAGGAACTGGCCCAGGACAAGGTGAGTTGGCAGCAGTGGTGGCTGGGCCTCATCGCTACACCCTGGAGCCCTGCATTCATGCCTGAGGGGGCAAGTTGGTGGAACAGGCACCAACATCTATCTTACAAACAAGCCCGAATGTGGCTGGCTGAGTACATGAGGACAAGGGTGAGCCGAGGTCCAGAAGGTTCTGGTCCCACCTGACCCCAGCTCCTTGCAGCAGGCGGCAGGAGTGGCCTTGCCCTGGGCTCTCCATGTCCAGGCCTGGCGGATCCCCAAAAGGAACAGAACACAGAGTAATGAGGGGGTCTGGAGACCTAAGGCCAGATGTCAGCTGCAGTACAGAGTTGCCTGATGGGTTTGGGTGTGTGAGGGCCTGCAACCAGCGGGACCCAAAGGGAGGAAGGAGGAGAAACTGAGGCAGACTGGGTTTTCTAACTTCAGGGGCTTCCCTCTTGGCCCCTCTGGGGCCATGCTCCAGAGCTATGGGTGGGGGTTCCAAGCAGGTTCACCCCCATCTCACCCCCCACAGTGCGTGGTCATTGGGCTGCAGTCCACAGGCGAGGCACGTACAAGGGAGGTGCTGGATGAAAAGGATGGGCAGCTTGACTGCTTTGTCTCAGCCGCTGAGTGAGTGATGCACATGGGGGTGGGCAGGGTGGCCACACCAGGGACCCCGTCACCCTGTGGCTCACTAGGCCTTGCCAGCAATGACCTGTGGTCTGTCCTTGTCCCGTGACTTCACCCATGGGAGCCTGGGCACATTTCTTGAGCCCTGTCTTTAGAGACTTCAGGCCCAGCTTACTTTTAAAGCCACAAAGCTTAACCGTGGTGGCTCAGGAATTAGAGGGTCAGTGGAGGGCCCCAAGATTTCAGAATGAGCCCGTCCCCCATGTGGGAATAGTGCTGTTTTAAGGAGGGACTCCTCAAAATTTAGGGACTGGCCTGCAGGGCACCCAAAGCCCCAAACCTCTCTTCCCAGCCCATAGTGAGCAAGGGTTCCAGTATGGCACCCCCATTCTGACTCATCCCCCATGACCCAGCATTGCCTCCTTTTTCAGGAAGCCTCCAGCCCCATGCACCTACCCCACCTATCCTGGTCTTGGGAGTCACCAAATGTGTCTACCCCCTTTTCCGTCAGAGGTAGTCAGCTCCACCTAGACCCCTAGTCCCACAACCAGTCCATCGCAGCAAAACTGCCCCCTTGAGACTCTTCCCCACTGTCCTCTGAACCTAATCTCACACAGGCCGACAGCATGCTCGTCCTCATAGTGAAAATAAACTCTGCTTCTCACTTTCAGGGGTGTCTTTTTGTCACTAATTCAGAAGCACTTTCCTTCAACCAAAAGAAAGCGAGACAGAGGGGCAGGCAGTAAGAGAAAACGTAAGCACCCGCCCTGCCTGCAGCTTTGGCTTGTGGCCTTCCTGGGGCCTCCCTTCCATCCACTTTCCTGCTGCCTCTCTCTAGCCCCTCCTTTCTGAGCATCATCCCAGGTCAGCTGGTCACTCCTGCTGCTCCCTCTGGCGCCCCTTTCCCAGCATCTACCTGCAAAGGTGGGCTAGGGAAGAGTGAAACCACAGACAGCCTGCAGGGAGGGCATCCAGGGGGCAGTAGGCACAGAGTGCCCCGACCACAAGTTCCCAAGAGAGAACTGATGGGGGCAGCCTCCATCCACATGCCCTGTCATGAGTTGCCATAAGCTGGGCCCCAGGCCAGACCCCTACAGGCCGGAGGAGCAGAGCTGGGCCGAGGTGACCCCTAGCTCCTCCCCTTCAGGGCGGCCAAGGGGCCGTGGGGCCAAGGCGTCCAGGCCAGCATACGAGGCGGCAGGTGTGATCCGAATCAGTGATGACAGCAGTACTGAATCAGATGCCGGCCTGGACAGTGATTTCCACTCCTCCCCTGAATCCCTGGTGGACGATGATGTGGTCATCGTGGATACCATAGGGCTCCCTGCTGACGAGCGCGGTGAGGCCTGTGACTCAGCCTTTCCCTTCTTTACCTATAGAGAACAGGCTCAGAGAGGGGAGGTCAGTGTCCCATGTTCAGTCAGCAGCAAAGCTGGGTTCATACAGGCAGTCTGGGGTTAGGGAGAATGAGCCCCCACACCTCCCCTGCACCTGGCTGTCCCTGAGGCTGGTGGGGACCACTTTGTCCTTGAGGACCCAAGGCTGAGTCTGTGAGTGGGGCTGTGGGCAGGTCACCTGGTCGGTCCTCCCTGACCCTGCGGCCCCACAGGCCCTCTGTGCCCCCCACAGCGGGACCCCCATGGCCCCGGCATCCTTGAGCGGGTAGAGCGGCTGAAGCAGGACCTGCTGGCCAAGGTGCTGGTACTGGGCCGGGAGCTGCCAGTAAACACCCTGGATGAGCTCATTGACCAGCTGGGGGGCCCTGAGCATGTGGCTGAGGTAAGCTTCAGAGGGGCCCCCACCCAGACTCTGGTGCTCCCTAGTGGCCACTCCAAGTCTCTGCCAACACTGCGAGGTGGTGGGGCAACTACAGGGTCCGACATCCAGTGGGGGGAGGGGGTGGGGACGTGCCTACCTCCCACAACATCTCATGTGCCTCTGGGCCTGTGGGGTTTGGGTGCGGTCTCAAGCACCAGGCTGAACCCACACCGTGAGTTGTCCCTGCATGTCCTCCCTTCCCATCCACACTAACTATACTCTTTCCTGGGATGCCCCTCTGTTGCCACCTCAGGTCTTTTGTGGCCCCAGGTGGCTGGTCTCAGGGCAGAGACCATGTTCTGGCTCAGGGCCCATAACCCCACCCCTCACACACACAGGGCAGAGGCTGGGGGTGGAGGGACAGGGGAGATGAGGAAACTGAGGCACATGGGAACCAGCCCCTGTGCAGCCACATGCTGACAGCCTGTCCCCCGCCCTGCCACAGATGACCGGTAGGAAGGGCCGTGTGGTGTCCAGGTCTGACGGGACTGTGGCCTTCGAGTCTCGGGCGGAGCAGGGCCTCTCCATCGACCACGTGAACCTCAGGGAGAAGGAGCGCTTCATGAAAGGGGAAAAGGTTGGGGGCATGGGGGCAGGGTGCCAGTGCACATGGGCAGGAAAAGCTTATGAGAGGCCCCTGGACAGGGGTGGTGCTGGGGTCCTAAGTCCTAAGAGGCTGGCTCTCAGCCACTGACCACCCCAGCCCTGCTATGGCTGTGTGCATATGAATGTGCTGTGCTTGGGTGTGTGCCTGAGTAGGGTGACACATGCTTCCCTGGCTGTCCTGCCTTCAGTCCTGGTGGAAGCTGCCCAAAGAAACAGGAAAAGTGGGCACCAGTGGGGAAGCCTTTGTCTCCAGGAGTTACCCAGGGATGGTCCACACTCCATTCTAAGCCCCATGTGGCCACCCCCTACCATGGAAGGTGCCTCAACTTACTATGTGGGTCATCCTAAACACCTCAAGGTGGCCCAGGGCATATGAGGTACATGGGGGAGGGAGAGCAGGCCGCCACCCACCCCACTAACCTGACCTATCTGCATCCCCCCAGCTTGTGGCCATCATCTCAGAGGCCTCCAGCTCTGGAGTCTCACTCCAAGCTGACCGTAGGGTCCAGAACCAGCGTCGCCGGGTCCACATGACACTTGAGCTGCCCTGGAGTGCCGACCGTGCCATCCAGCAATTTGGTGAGCCCTGCGCCTCCCAGAACACCCCTCCCCAGGATGCCCAGGCCTCACCCCTGTCCCCACCCCAGGACTGCCCTCACCTTGGACCTGCCCCACTGGGGCAGCCCCTAAGAGCCTCCTCTGTCTCCAGGCCGAACCCATCGGTCCAACCAGGTCTCTGCACCAGAATACATCTTCCTCATCTCGGAGCTGGCTGGGGAGCGCAGGTTCGCCTCCATTGTTGCCAAGAGACTGGAGAGCCTGGTAAGTGGTCAGGCTGGACCAGGGTGAGGTGGATGGGAGCTAGTCAGGGGGGCTGTTGGGGGAACTTCCTGAGGAGGGAAGTAGGGAGGGATGTGATGGCTCCCCATCCCTGGCAGGGGGCTCTGACACATGGGGACCGCCGTGCCACTGAGTCCAGAGACCTGAGCAAGTACAACTTTGAGAACAAGGTACCGGGGAGGTTGGTTGCCTGGAGAGGAGGGTTCCTGGGTGCCAGAGCCCAGCCTCTGACCTGGCCCCTCTACTCAGTATGGCGCCCGGGCTCTCAGCTGCGTCCTCAACACCATCCTGAGCCAGATGGAGAACAAGGTGCCCCTGCCCCAGGGCTACCCAGGAGGGGATGCTGCCTTCTTTCGGGGTGAGCTGGGGGTGTGGTGCATGGGGGTCCCCCTGGGAGACCAGCTTGGGGCATGGGGACTGGTAGACTGGATTTGTGTCCAAAGATCCCTCTGACACACATCAAAGGGACACTAGTAGCAGAGGGCTGGTGCGGGCCGGTGCAAGGGGAATGTGCAAAAGCCCTCCCTTCCTGCAGACATGAAGCAGGGCCTGCTATCAGTTGGCATCGGTGGGCGAGAATCCAGGTCCGGCTGCCTAGATGTGGAGAAAGGTGAGTCCCCCTTTCTCAAGTGGACCAGGTTGGGAGTGGGTGGAGCTGACGCAGCCTGAGGCCCTTCTGCCTCTGCAGACTGCTCCATCACCAAGTTCCTCAACCGCATCCTGGGACTGGAGGTGCACAAGCAGAATGCGCTGTTCCAGTACTTCTCTGACACCTTCGACCACCTCATTGAAGTGGACAAAAAGGAGGGCAAATATGACATGGGCATCCTGGGTGAGTGCCACCAAGGGAGAGGGAGGGGCCTAAAGGAACTGACAGCCAGCACCCCACACACCAGGCCCTCACCAAGGGCCACCCTAGCAAGTTTGGCTCAGTGGTTAGAACGTTGGCCTGTGGACTGAAGGGGGTCTCAGGTTTGATTTTGGCCAAGGGCACATACCTAAGTTGCAGGCTAAATTCCCAGCCCTGGTCAGGGCGCGTGCAGGAGGCAACCAATTGATGTCTCTCACACACTGATATTTCTCTCCCTCTCTCTCTCCCTTTCTCTCTCTCTGAAAAAGCAATGGAAAAAATATCAAGTGAGGATTAAAAAAAAAAAGGACATCAAGGGCCAAGGGGCTTCGTACCAATAAAGCTTTAATCATAAAATCTGCAGAGGGCACAGGCCCCTACTTAACTGTTCCCAGGACAGCTGTGCAGAGAAGAGTCCTGAGGGGCATGTTGTCTGTGGTCACACCTGGCATGAGGGGCCTGCAGGTTGTGGTTGGGAACCCAGGCCACCAGACTGAAGGGGCCACTTGCAATCTAGGGTGCTGGGCAAGATTGGGGCCAGGCTGACTCTGCTAGGGGAACCTCCCCTTCTGCGGGGCACCTGAGAACTTGGGACTGATCGCCCCCTCAAAGCCCAGAACCTGGAAACATCTGAGCAACACTGGGCACATGATCCCCAGGTGGAATCCTGTTCATCGTTTTCCTCTCCCCAGACCTGGCTCCGGGCATCGAGGAGATCTACGAGGAGAGCCAGCAGGTATTCCTGGCCCCCGGACACCCGCAGGATGGGCAGGTGATCTTCTACAAGGTGAGTGGACACTGGCCTGCCCTTACCCCTGCCCTGTACCCCCACTCCCACCCCTAACATGCAAGTGCCATGGCAGATCACTGTGGACCGTGGCCTTAAGTGGGAGGAGGCATACACCAAGTCGCTGGAGCTGACAGGCCCCCATGATGGCTTCTATCTCTCCTACAAGGTGGGTGGCCCAGGGGGAAGGACCCCAGGCTCGGAGAAGGGGGGTACAGCAGAGGGCAGAGGTCCAGCTCCCAGCCTCATGCCCTCCCAGTACACCCACGCCATGGGGACACCCATCTGGGACATTCAGCTGCGTGCCCCAATCTCACGACACCCCCTGTCCAGGCTCGTGGCAACAAACCAAGCTGCCTCCTGGCTGAGCAGAACCACAGCAAGCTCTTCACTGTGTACAAACCCAACATCGGCCGGCAGAGCCAGCTGGAAACCTTCGACAGCCTGTGCCGGAAGTTCCACCGGGTAGGGACTAGGGTGGGGGAGGAGACAGACAGGGAGGCCCCACCATGCTCACGTCCCTGGGCTTGTCTATCCCTATTACTCTAGTTGCCCCCACTGTGACCCCTCCCTGCTGGAGCTTCTGCAGCCTCCAGGCCTGCCCTTTTTGCCCAATCCAGCTGGCCACCAGGAGGGGGCTGCCAAGTTTGAGATGAGCCAGCCTGGGGTACTCCAGGCCTGTTTCCCCAATTGTGCACTAGAAGTGTGGATGGGTCTCTCACTCAGGGTCTCATACGACTGTGTCCCCCTAGGTGACGGCAGAGGACGCCAAGGGTCCCTGGGAGAGTAACTACACCTTGTCGCTGAAGCACTGCAGCCACACTTCGTGGTGAGGGCCAGGGTTGGACTGAGTGTATGGCTGCATTAGACAGTCCTGCCCCATTTTCTCTGCGCAGCTCTACTAGGGATGGTCCAACACACCATACAGGACAAGGGGCCCTTTAGGCATCTGGGGTATCCCAGGACCCCCAGGAGGTGGCACTTAGGAATGAGCCAGCTAGAATGGGGGAGGAGCCTGCAGGGCTTGGGGAGGAGCCTGCAGGTTATAGGGGGTATGTGCGTGGGGCACTTCGTGTCTGAGCCGCCCTGCCTGCTTGCCATGCAGGAACCGGCAATGCCGGCTGGTGCAGGAAGGGAAGGACTGTGTGCAGGGCCTGAGGCTGCGGCACCACTACATGCTGTGCGGGGCGCTGTTGCGCGTGTGGGGCCGCATTGCCGCTGTCATGGCTGATGTCACCAGCAGCAGCTACCTGCAGATTGTTCGCCTCAAGACCAAGGACAAGAAGAAGCAAGTTGGTGAGTGGGTAGGCACGCCAGCTAGAAGGGGGTATGGGGGTTGGTGGGCTCTGCACCAGAGGCTCTGACCTGCCATGTGCCCTGCAGGCATCAAGATCCCCGAGGGCTGCGTGCCCCGAGTACTACAGGAGCTGCAACTCATGGATACAGATGTGAAGCGCAAGAATGCTCATAGCCAGGGCTTCCCTGTGCCACCATCTGCCCTGCGCCCACTCGCACTGCCCTGTGGCCCCGGAGAGGTTCTCGACCTCACTTACAGTCCACCAGCCCAGGTCTTCCCACCGCCCTCACCCTTTACCTTTCCACTACCCCAGGACCCTGCACCCGATCTACTGCTGGGCACCCCTGATGCCCCGGCTGACCCCACAGCCCTTGTGCACCAGGGCTGTGACATCAACTTCAAGGAGGTGCTAGAGGACATGCTGCGTTCCCTCAACGCTGTGCCGCCCCCAGAGCCCCCTGGCCCGCTGGGAGGTGGTGCAGGGGTGGCAGGGGTGCCAGCGGGTGGGGGAGGCCCTGAGCGGCAGAGCGTCATCCAGTTCAGTCCGCCCTTTCCCAATTCCTAGGCTTGGGCTGTGGCCCATAGCCAGGCGTTCTTCCTGGATGGAACTTATCTGTAATACACCACATCTACAGACAGGTCTTGTACCAAAGTGGGTGGTAAACAGGGCTCAGGTCCCCCTGCCAACTACTGAGAGGAAGGGGAGCTGGGGTGCCCCTCATCTAGCTAACCAAGGCCTCCACTGTAGTGCCTTCCTGGTCAGTGCCTGGGCAAACCCCTCAGGATGCTGCCACCCTGCCCAGTGGGGCAGCAGGTGTGTTATGTCTCACTCAGGGGCTCAGGCGGGGCCTGGGGGTGGAGCTGCCCTCTCTGTGCCTCTCCTATCCTGCCCTCCAGGCCTGGACAGGGCTCCCCTTCCCAGCCCACCCCTTCCGGCCTAGAAATGCCAGAACCCCTGAAATACACAAAACTGGGTGGCCCCTAGAGCTGGAAACTCAGGAAACCCCCGGTTCTCAGGGCCTTGTCTCTGGGAGGCTGTGTGGGGCAGACCCCCCATTAATATATGCAATCTCCCCCTACCTGCTCTCTGCTCCCTAAATTATTGCCCAGCTGCCTCTTCCAGGCCCCAGAATCTGCCTGTGGAGCTGGAGGGGTGGGCGGCCCCTGGTTTCTATGTGTATTTATAATTCAAGTGTATATATGTAAAAAGATCTTTTTTAAATATATGTGCCTTTTCACTACTTCCCCAGCTGTCTGCTCCTCTG